GCCCCTCGGGGTTGGCCTTCGTTGATTTTTCTCCTGTCTCTTCCCGAAGAATGCGCTGAAGAATGGGGAGTGTTCGGAGCCTTCGGACAAGCAGGAGCAGCGCCGGGTGATGAAGGGGAAGACCCATAAAAAGAACCGAAATAGGAAGAAGAGCAACACGGTGCCCTCGAAACAGGTCAGCTCGCCTGTAGTTGCCAGTGGTGCTCGTACCGCGTGTTGTACTTCTCCGTGATGCGCTAGAGTAGCTTTTCCATCATCTCAAGGGTAACATTGTGGACCAAAGAGTGATACCGCTATGAACAGTATTGATAGGTTACCTTGAGCAGTTTCACTACTATGCTGGTTTGGGCTGGGACGGAGTTCATACAAAGAAAGCAGTGTAGGTGGGAGTCATGTTTATGAGCGTTGGGACTGAAAGTGGGTTAGAAAAAGGCACCTTCTGTCCCATGGTGTAGGTGCTCATGCGCTTCTCTCGCTTCTGTTGCAGTGGAAGGTTGGCGACAGCTGCAACGCTATCTGGTCTGAGGATGGCAATTTGTACCTGGCCACTATTGCCTCCATCAGTCAGAAGAGAGGCACATGTGTGGTTACTTACACAGGATATGGAAATCAGGAGGAGCAGAACCTGTCTGATCTACTTCCTCCAGCTGCCGTTGAAACAGTAAATGGGATTGGGAATTCCGGGGAGGTGAGGGACACTTTTCAATTCTTCTTTTCATACAAGAGAAAGTGGAGGAATCAGTTTCTTTTAGTGCTGGTGTGAAAGTCATACTCCGTTCCATTGTAAACAGTCATAGTCTGATGGGGGGAATGAAAGCATGCCTTTACTTCTTGAACTTCGCATGGAAGAAAGGGAGGGGACAGCAGGAAATGCACCAATGAAAGATAACATAGCTAAGATGGTAAGCAGATAGAATTATGGTACTACAAAATCATTCCTGAGTAGAACTGGGAGGGTTAGAGAGAGGGAAGGATGTGAATTGGAGTTTCCAAGCTTTTGTATGTTAAAATTTCTTCCTGTAAACTCGTGCTCAGTGCATTTCATGAAAATGTCTTTTAGTATGAAAATGAGACTCCATATTCAACAGATGAAAGTGAAAAGTCTTCCCAGTCACCTCAAAACATAAGCAGCTGCACAAAAGCAAGGTTCTCCCCTCAGAACTTGCATTGCCCCACACCACCAACACCCCCAGGCCTGGGAAGGGTAAGCTCAACCTTATCTGAAATGATTCGTGTACCACTGTTAAGTCTGGTATTATTGTAAATCCTGAGATAATAGGATGATACGTATTTTGCCTGGAGTTCAACAAACAGCATTTTGAGAGTGAATGTACAGATATGCATGTTGGAATCTGTTGTTTTGCTATTTGTAATAATCTGGCCACAGTATAGCTCTTCTGCAGTGCTGCTGTCTAGTGAGGAAAGCTTTCTTCCCCCTAGCTAACACTTGCTTTGCAATTGCCTTGTGGCTTAAAAGAGAGATGATGTTCCCTGATGCATAGGAAATTCCATCTGAATATAAGGAAAAACTTCACTGTGCAAGTCACTGAGCACTGGAACAGATTGCCCGGAGAGGTTGTGGATTCTCCCGTACTGGAGATATTCAAGAGCTGTCTGGATGCTCCTGTGCTGTGTGCTCTAGTATGGCCCTGTTTGAGTAGGGAGGTTGGACCAGGTGACCCACTGTGGTCCCTTCCAACTGAACTGATTCTGTGATAGTGCTGTTAATGATAACCCTGTTATGTTTTAAGATTTCACTTTTTCTAGCCGACTGGTATTTCACTACACAGGATATTGAAGGCATCAGAAGTTATGTGAGATGCCATAGAACCTCTCAGCTGTAGCTTCTCTACTGAATTGTAAGGGTTGAGGTATTGATACACCACTCAGTTTTCCTATTGTGTAGGAGTCTGAAGATAATACAGTTGAACTCAAGTGTTATGTTTTCTCAGATATTACTGTTTGTGCAAGATTTCTTTATAAGGTTTTATTTTATCAATAGATTTGCATTTAAGATAATTTTAAAGACACTGACCGGTATAATGGAGTTTAGTCAGCCTGTGCCCCCAGTCGCACAGGAGCAGAGACATTATCTGTCTGCCTGTGTGAATATTAGATATGCTTCTTCATGAGAGAGTGCAACCATTGGCCTCCATTTAGGAACAGCTTTTAAAAATGCTTGTATGAACTAGAACCCTGTTTCAGCAGTGACATGTGTAATGTAGGCTATACTTTTAAAGTCATGGAATGTGCCAGACAAACAGCTACTGGGTGTGTTTTCATTAAATTGCTAGAGTGTGTTATCTTTAAGGCAGGTGAATTGCACCACATAATTCTCTTAAATAAAATCCTAATACCTGCCATTGCTTTTTAATTTGTACCCCTCCACTTTTTTCAATGTAGCCTGGATTAAAATTCAAGACACCTCCATCGTTTTTACCTTGCTGGCCCCCACCCTTCCCAGCAGGACCACCGGTGAGTGATGGGAGAATGAGGAGGAAGGTGTCAGAGATGAGTATTGGCAATCTCAGGTTTTCTTACCGAATGTGCTCACTGTTTGTGCCTTCAGAACACATTTGTTAGTTTGTAATTTTCACATATTTAACACATTCAGTTACAAATATTAGAGTAATCTAATGAATCTAATGCAGTAATTGCTCTAACGTAATCTGATTTGCCATCATTTTTGTGACAGTGAAGCTATTGGTAAGAATTTCAAGGGGAAAATAAGAAATTGCACCTTACATTAACAGCATTTCACTGAAGCAGATAATGTTTCCCCCTAATAACACTTTTTGTGTATAGTCAAGGTACAGGAATCCTGTTTTCCCAAGCTTTGAAAATGACATCTTTTCAAAAAACATTACCTTATTTGACTCCTTTCCAGAGAATGCATTGAGGATGTGTTCCTATTTATCAGTTTTATGTTTTGATCTTTTAGAATTGGTTAGACTCTGGAATTTAGAATCTAACCTGGGATATACTCTGTTGAAATACAGACATTTCCTTTGTGATTTCTTAGCTGATTCCTCCTCCACCACCTATGAGACCAGACTCTCCTGATGACAACGAAGCCTTGGGGAGCATGTTGATAGCCTGGTACATGAGTGGTTATCACACTGGATATTACCTGGTATGTGCCACTTCTGCTTTCAAGTGTCTTTGTAATTTTATGTTCCTGCTGCTGCTGCTGTTTGCAGCAGGAAGTTAGACAGGAACGGCTGCTTCTTGCATCTCTTGGTCTAGTTTATGATTGCTACATTTAAGGGTATTGGAAAGGGAGAGTTTGGTGCCATGGGATATAATCAAAAAAACAGTTTTGGAACCTTTTGCTTCAGATTGTATATAATTGTGGATTGCTTTAATGTACTTTTGTTCAATTGAACAAGAAATATGTATTTGAAATTATTCTGTAGTGTCACTGATTACAAAGAAGACGTAGTTTGGCTTCTGTCCTTTTTTAACTTGCCATTCTGGTTTCCAGAGAGTGTTAAGAGCTGTTCTTGATTTGTAAAGAAAGAAAAATCTGTCCAGAAATGTTTTTGTTCACAACTGAAGCTTTTATTTCCATGTTAGCAAAACCCAAGATTTTACCAAATTGCACCTTGCAGGGCTTAAAACAAAGTCGAATGGAAGCAGCTCTGGAGAGACAAACACGTATAAAATAACTGAGCATCATCATTGTTCTGAAGGAGGGTAAGTGTTGTAATTTTGTGGTACATTAAGATACAGTCAAGTCTTAAATTACCTTCAAAAATTTGTGAGCTTTGGAACTTCCACCCAATCTTACGGCTCACCACAAAGACTACTTCTGCCAGTATTAATCCCTTCTTTGATTAGCAGTTGTGGAATAGTATTTTCTTGGCTAGCGTGAAGGAAACTACTAACTGCTCTGATGAAAGTTTTAACTACAGCATCTCTACATCAGCATTAACAGTGCAGCTTATTTGAATTATGAATAAGTAAAAGTGGGCTGTTTCAGAAACAAAAGGTTATAAGTGAAATGCATTTTTTTCACCTATATATTCTTACATAGCTGGGATAGTAGGATGTATAGCTCACCTTTGTTTTCAGGACAAGATCAACATTTCAGTTTTATATCATTGAGCAGTTCTGTTCTCATCACTTCCGTGCCTATGCTTTACTTGAAATACTGTGATCAGAATTCTCCAGTATATTGTTCAGGTCCTTATAAAAAAAATCTATATTCTCTTGGAGACTTGTTTTCTGATTTTCTGCAACAACATATAAATTCTGTGTAGCTGAGTAATTCTTTTTGTATTTAAAAACAAAAAGCTCTTTTATTCTAATTTTTAATTCTTTTCTAGGTGTACAGGTCTTTCTCACTGAGAGGTGTGTATAACATCCTGATGGTTGATGATGAACCGCAGAATTTCATCAAGGCAATTAGTCGTAACATTTTCTTAGTATTGAGCTACTTCTGTTAATGAATAAAGAAATATCTTCAGACTAGTAATTTTATGTGCATTGAAATGAGCTCTAGTCAGATGTTTTCAGGAAGCACTGCAACAGCAAGATATTTTTTCCTTCCCTGAAACAATTTCAAATCTGATAGATCTTTTGACCCCATGTGATAGACTTTATTTATCTCTTAACACCTCTTGTGTTCCTCAGACTTCTTGTCTGAATGACAACACCAGAGCTGTGGGCCTATGCTGCACTCCTTTAGGAGAGAGCTGTGGCAGCAATACATACTACAGTGGCCACTGATGGCAGTGACCTGGAAAACAGCATATTGTCATACTAAAAGAGACATCTTATGAGTCTCATTAGGATCAGGAATATGACAGCTGGATCCAGAAAGGCTAATATTTTGTTTTGAATGCTTGTTAATAAAGTTCTACTTTTCAAACTTTGATTTTAGGGGTGTGGTTTGTTTTGGGGTGGTTTTTATTTTTAGTTTCTGTAGATGTCTGGCAGTTGGATAAATGGCTAAAGTATACCAGAAAGTTTCACAATGTTGCCTTTTTCTGAGTACCATTACTAAAAGCAAATTAGAAAAAGCAAACTGTGGAAATGCCATGGTAAGTATGGACTTAGGTTTCAGCCCTTACAATATGAACTCTTGTAGAACAGTGACTGCAGCCACAAAACTGGGCAGCAATGCAGTTAATGCCAGTGCCTTCCTTTCCTTAAGGGAAATACAGGCCTGACCTTCACTGCATTCATTTCCTTTTTGTACTGTGGTCAGGTATCAGCAAATCTGTTTTCCCAAAAGGAATGTAGCAAAAAGAGAAAGGTAAAGTATGATTGTGCCTAAGCTACGAAGGTAGTACCTCGATTCAGATTCTAAGAGTTCAGTGCATTCTTCTGCCAGCTCCCTCATCACTCTGGGATGGATCCCATCTGATCTGATAGATCTGTGAGGATCCAAGTGTCTAAGCAGATCTCCAACCATTTCCTCTCAAATTGCAGGGTGGCTATTTGGCTTCCTATCTGTGTCTATCAGATCAAGAGGTCTATTGTCCTGAGGCCAGCCTGTCCTACTACTAAAAACTGAGGCAAAGAAGGTGTTAAGTACCTCAGCCTTTTCCTTGTCATGGGTTGCTCTGTTCCCTCCCATGTCCAACAAGGAAGGAAGGTTTTCCTTGCCCTTCCTTTTGTTATTGATGTATTCATAGAAACACTTTTTGTTGTCCCTGACAGAAGCAGCCAGATTTAATTCAAATTGTACCTTTGTCTCTCATATTTTCTTCCTACATGACCTGACTATATCCCTGAACTCTTCTTGAGTAGCCTGCCTTTTTTTCCACAGTTGGTAAGCTCTTTTTTTTCATAATTTCCTGCAAAGTCTCCCTGTTCAGCCAGGCCGGCCCCTTCCCCGCTGGCTCACCTTACTGCACACCAGCACAGCTGCTTCTGTGCCTTCCTTCTTGAAATATGTCCATCCCCCCTGGACCCCTTTGTTTCCAAGGGCTGTTTCCCTGGGTACACTTTGAACCAGACATTTGAGCAGGCCAAAATCTGCTCTTTTTAAGTCCAGGGTAGAAGTTTCATTGATGGACCTTCTTGCATCCCTGAGTATTGAGAATGTAGTTCCATGGTCGCTGTGCCCCAAACGGT